TGTTAATTTTTGTAAAATCGGATCAGCGACCTTTTACCTTCTTAAACAAAAATAATTACGGCACAAGAAATTCAACATTGTTAGAAATACCAAATCATAGACTGGCTAGATCAGAATCAAGTCCAATTTTCATGGGTGTCAGGCTATTTAACAAATTGCCAAATCATGTTAGAAAAATGTCACTAAGAAAATTTAAACCGTTCCTAAAAAACTTTCTGATTGATAAAGCCTACTACTCCATTGAAGAGTTTATAAATGACTTATCAATATAACTGAAGAATTGAGATTGTCATCTAGGGTTGTTAATATATTATAATTTTACCTAGTTATAAGTTTTAATATATAATTTTACATAACTGTTCATATCCTATATGTACATAATTTTTTCTTTTTTATAAGTTTATTTATATCATATTACACTGACTTGTTCTATATCATTGAGTTATGATCCAGAAGAACCAATAAAATATTATTATTATTAATGGGTACAGTTCGAAGTACTACCACTCCATCTCCTCTCAGCTCATTGCATTGCTCTTGTGAACCTCCTCTTGACTCTGCTTTCAAACGCTTCTGGGAAACTGAAGATATGCCTAGAACATGTAAGGACAACCCGGAGGATGCACTTGCTGAAACTCTCTTCAGCGCTTCTGTCTCTAGAAATGCTGCAGGGCGATTCATCGTTTCTCTACCTTTTCGTTCTTCGGAACCCTCATTTCTCAACTCTCGCAACATATCTCTGAGGAGATTCATCTCTCTTGAACGTCGATTACGTCTCAATTCATCTTTATATAAACAATATTGTGATTTCATGACCGACTACTTGGCACAAGATCACATGTCTCTCATTTAACAACCAGCAATCGAATCTGGATCGTACTATATCCCACATCATTGTATTATTCGACCGGAAAGTGTTAGTAGTAAACTCCGTGTTGTATTCGACACTTTGGCAAAAACCTCTGAAGGAATCTTTCTGAATGATATGTTACTCACCGGCCCTAAACTTCAGAATGACCTTATTACTATCTTACTGAAGTTTCGTATAAACGCAGTAGCGTTGATGGCTGATATTCGCCAAATGTATTGGCAAATTTTAGTCGCTGATGATCACAGGCGTTATCAACGAATTCTTTGGCGTTTTTTTTGTGATCAACCTATTCAAGAATATGAACTGAATACTGTGACTTATGGTGTTTCTTCAGCACCATTCCTCGCAATTCGAACGTTATTGAAGCTAACAGAAATTGAGGGCTCTAATTTTTCTATGGCAGTTGAAGCTTTGAGAACTTGTTCATATGTTGATGACATTGTAACAAGTTGTGTGACTCTCGACTCTGCTCGAGCTCTCAAATCACAACTAATTGCTCTACTCAAATTAGGAGGGTTTGAGTTGCATAAATGGAGAAGTAACGAATCGAAATTGCTTTCTTCTGAGTGTGAAATTGGTTCAAAATCTCTTGACCTGGATGAATGTTCCACAACAAAGGTGCTCGGTCTCCCGTGGAATTCTTCCCAGGATATATTTTCATTTAGCATTTCTGCTCATAACACACAATGTTCTAAGAGGAATATACTATCAGACTTGGCTCGTATATTTGATCCACTAGGATTTCTGAGTCCTCTGACTTTATTCGCCAAAAGACTCATTCAACAGTTGTGGACATGTGGTATCGGCTGGGATGAACAGCTACCCCAAGATATCCATAATACTTGGACTACTTTTAAATCCGATCTACCTGTCATCTCGGAAATCAGTGTTCCTGGGTCGCTATTTCACCCATCAGTTACTAATTGCACCTTACATGAATTCTCTGATGCCAGTGAGAAAGGATATTCAGCAGTAATATATTCTAGGACTGAGGTAGATGGAATTGTTCATGTTCGCTTGGTTTGTGCTAAAGCTAAAGTATCTCCCCTCAAAACCATCTCGATTCCAAGGTTGGAACTGCGTGGAGCAGTACTTCTTTCTGATTTGTTTGCTTTCGTTTAAAATAATGTTGGGAAATTATTGTATGCACAAATCCGATTCTAATTGAAGCTAGAGTAAATTGAAAAGTTTGTTTTTATTATTGAATTTGACATCTGACACAAATGAATCATTTCATTCTGAAGAATAGTATAATTAATGAAGTCACTACGAATCGTTTTTGAATACACGCTCGAATACGATTAAAAGCCAGAAAACACCTACGAATGAAATTAACCTTAAAGATGAACCTCAGAGTAATAATAAGACATAGAGTTGCCATGCCTATACGGTGCCTATACCAATACAATACATGTATTTTGAAGCGGGTATCGAACTATTCTTTCCTGTACAACTTATGGGCGAGGGAGGGTGGCGTAACCAACCGCCACTGTTTTATGGTCCAACTTACTTCCCGTAAACAAACGAAGTTATGCTGCCTTCAATGTAAGGATGGAAAAGGTCTCTCTATTGTATTTTGTTATTCTGAGAGATGGACAATGAACATACTTCAGCGTGAAGTTAGCTACAACAGTTTTCAACAGTATTTCCCATATTCAGCTTACAAACTGTTTTGCATCAAACAAAAGATTTTGATTGGTACATATCACAGTATACTATCCATTTGTTGAATCTAAACAGATTATTACTTAACAAGCGATTATGTAAAAAATGGTGCTTATGGTCGTGATGTGGGAAACTATCATAAATAATATCATACTTTATTCATTATGTGTCATTTGCTTGTGATTGAACTTCATTCAAAGATGACAAAAACAAAAAGTAAATAGTTTGACAGAAATGAAAATATCAACTAATAGACTCGTAAAATGTTGTGTTAGACTTTCGGGTTTTGTTTACAGTGTAGTATATGCAAAAACTTGAATAATGGCCTGACTACCTCATTGCTATGTATTGGCTTTGAGAGGTTCTCGGTACAATCTGTTAATGATTCATTCGATCAGGTGTCAACTCAAATGTGGTTCAAATTCAATACTTAAAAGCCTCAACTCTCCAGGATGTAGCACTGGTGGCACTAATCACTGATTCAAGTACGTAATAAGTGCCACATCTTTAATCGAACAAACGATACAGAACGTTATTTCGTTGGATTGGTGACCTCGTCGGTGGCTTTAAAAACTCGCTCAGAATGGAAACATTTTACAGTTGAAGGTAATTACCTATAGTTATTATTCAACAGACACTCTGAAAGACAGATTATTTTCAAGATTATAAATAATAGTGATAGTGATGAAAAATTCTTGAGATTTCTGGAGAACTAGAAGAATATTCTGATAATGATATAGAATCACAAATCAGAGATCATATATTATGATGAATCCAAATCATGATATTTGTGTCTTGATGTCTATTTGTTATCTGCATATATTGTGTTCCGTGATATGTGTTTGACGTATTGATGTTCTGGTGACAGTGACCTATGGGTTTGGGATAATGAAATGTACATTTGGATATAGCATGGGTGCATGCTACTTGTGAAGTTAATAAAGTATACTGTTGATTCTCATAATCAAAGTTTGCATATAAACAAAAACCATTTTTTTTTCTTATATTACGTAACGTTTTTTCGTGTTCTGACATCCATGTATAGTGTTGTGATCAATATCAAGTGTGTGTGTGTATGAGTGCCATGCTTTTATAAACCAACATGGTTACACTCCATATTGTTTCTTCACATATTATTCATTACTGATATTGTGAATTACTCATAAAAGTAGGGAAAGTTGAAATAGTATGGATACACGTGTTCCTCCCACACCGAATAATCCCCGTTTGGAGGATGATGTTAAATCAGAACCAGGGGCATCTTATGCACATGCTGTTTTGAATTTTAAGCAGTCAACATATAATAATAAAGAGAATATTGAAGAAATACCGAGAGCAAAACAATCACAAACATCAATGGACAATTCATCCCAGGTTGAACCTGAAGAATCTAAGGCAAATTTAGATGAAGAAGGAACATTCACTCCTGTGGTAAACTATAGTAGAAAAGAAAGAAAAAATGACAAGTTGAAAAAAAAAACATTAACTCAAATTGAAAAGGATAGACAAGACAAGCATGAAAAGAAAGATAACCAGGTTAACAGAGAAAAGGTCAAAGATGCTGTTCCCAAAGAAAAAGATGTCGCAAATACTAAAGAGACTAATGAAGAACAAGAGGATGTGAAGAAAGTGTTTGTAGCAGCTCCAATTCCAAAGTTTAATCCCTGGCAAAAGAAGCAATTACCCCAAACTGTGCCAAATGATGAGTCGGCAGAAAAACGGGTGCTTCGACCAAAAAAACAAGATGTTACCGTGAATGGAGCGGTAGTCATTTCGGGAGTTGTGAAAGCTACTAAAGATAAACAAAAGTACAATCATAAGGTAAAGATAGTTGTTTTCTTCAATATCAGGTTCAGAGTTATGCTAAGCTTTTTATTCACTAAGATCAAACTGCACATAGCAGACCTTGGCACAGTTTTGCCTTTTTTAAATTGATGCGAATATTCCCCAATAATTTCAATGTGAAACTACTCAATTCCTGCAAAATCTTACTATCGTACTGAGTACACTCTCAATAATATCAATAGAAATGCTATGATGGATAGAAAGGGTCCTATGGATGGAGTCATATAAAATTTACTTCATCGCCCCCATACACACAAACTCATATTCAATGTAACCCCCCAACAGCTCTTGCAAGACATACAAATGCTCTGTACAGAGGCGTATCACTACTTGTCCTCCAGTGCTGTTGGAAATGTGAGTTGGTTTATCAAATGTAAAAAATTAAGAATCTCCCACTACAGGTAGCATTAACTAAATTCAAAAAATAACTATTTCAACACAAACCTTTATTTTGTATTAGGTATTTCGAAAAGTAACTGTTATTGATATATCCAAGTGTGAGTATTCCAGTATTAGACAGATTATTTACTACTTTCATAAGACGGAGGGGTGTCATATTACGGTGTAAAAGTTCAACATGAAATTAATGACGTTTTGGGAATTGTGGCTTCCGAAACATCTATCTCAAATGGAGAAGGACTGAAAATTATAGAAAAATTTTAATAAAGAATGTGGACATTTAGAAAAAAAACAATTATTTCTGTAGCCAACAGCGACCATTTGTATTTCTTGATGAAACATACCTTCATAGTGAACATACATCTTCCAAGAACTGGACGGATGGAAAAAGGTGATCTAAAATTTACCTGTGGATTCAGTAGTCGTGACGATAATGTTCCATACCATAATATTCAAATTAATTCAGCCATAGCACAAATTCTAGGAAGGCTGACATGGTGAAGTGGCTGTACGAAAAAAGCATTATGTTCACCTCTAACATGCCCAAACTAGAATTTTACAAGTTGATCAGGGTAAATAAAAAGCATCATATTAGATACAAATTTGATGAGGTTCTGATTGAACATGGACATAACGTTTTGTGACTTCCACCCCACCATCCGGATTTGAATCTCATTGAACTCATTTGGGCTAGTGTCAAAAATAACGTGTCCTAAAAGAATGTAATTGTCAAGTTGGAAGATGTGAGGAAACTGGCGGAGCACGAGTTTGATCAAATCACTTCCCAGGAATGGCAAAAGCGTTGCCGACATGTTGTAGATATAGAGCGGAAATATTGGGAAAATGAAACATTCACAGATGCTCAAACAGAGGTAAATCCAGTGATTAAAAATTTTAATAGCAGCACAAGCAGCAGTGAAGATGAAGAAAATTTGTATTCAGATAGTGACTGATTGTAAAGTTTATTTTTGGATAAGTGTATCATTATATAACATTTTAATGAACTGTACTAGTGCCTATAATACTAAATAAAATATGAAAAGAAATTACAAAGAAGTCATCTTCCATTTGCTACTCTAATTAAAACTAATTATAGGCTTGACACTGGCCGGCAAGGGGTTTATCGTAATCCAATAGTNGTGGAAAGGATGAAATTTTTTAAGGGTCTTTTCTGTGTCTGGCTTCACATAGAGAGCATATAATGGATTTAATTAGGAATTTTGAGAGTCGTCCATTAGAATAATTTCCAAGTATTGAGGTATTTGTAGGTATTGATTCAAAAGCGGATTTTATGAAATCATGTCTTCAATTTGTCAATTTCAACTAATTGTAGAGTCAGCATTTTTTTTCAACAGTTTTTTGTATTATAGTTCTGCCAGGCCAAATCATAAAAAGCATACAAGCACAAAAACATAAGAGCATAAAAACAAATGAATGCATAAAAACAATAAATTAAATACATTGGAGAAAACAAGACTGTCGTGTCTGGCTGCACTGTAAAACATAGGTCTGAGGTGGCTACTGCTGGAGACTGCCGGAGTCCCGGATCCCAAGAATCAGAGAAGTCCAGTTAGAGGAGTGGCAAATAAAAGCCTTCAGTTTTCTCGATGGTTTCTGGAAATATGAAATTTTGATTAAAAGTTGTAAGGTTTAGTGCAATAAACCCTAGGGTAAAATCCTGTAATTTGGAACGAGTAGAAAATTTCAGAACAATGACATTCTGATTTTTGTATACATTTATATTCAGTATTGAATATTTAGTATTTTTGTTCATTCATTTCAAGGTTGGGAATGCAAAACCCTATTAAAACTCCCAAGTAAACTGTATTCCTTATTTTATTGGTTTGCTTGAAGTGTGTCATATCCCATTGTAACTTAATTGGTCTGCAGTGACAATTGTTGAAAAGGGGTGCAGTAGTTCTAGAAACATCTGTAGATGGCGTCCGAATAAGAGCTTTTAATTTGGTAACCCTTTTCAGCACTTATAATTGAATTTCAAAAATAATCAATAACCAACCTGCTCCCTTGCCTTCGTAAATCAATAGTCTATTCCAAATGGGCAAGGATACCACTTTTTTGCTCTAGTGCTCTAGTAAGGGAACGGTACAAGAGTTTAGCGCCCAAGGTGGTGCTCGAACCCACGACCCTGAAATCAAGAGTCTCATACTCTACAGACTGAGCTAGCTGGGCTGAAATCCTCTTTGGTGAAAATAATTAATACTGATAATTTTTTTCGATTTCAGTTTATCCCATATTTTGTAGGCCAAAAATTGTTCACTGAGAAAATGAGAAAATACGATAACCATGAATCTAACAATCATTATAATTTATGTTTCTGATATTTTTTGCCTGTTTCCGCAAACTTTTATGATGGAAATAGTGAATATTGATTTTATTTTTTACATAACAGGTTGTCTTTTATTTTGTAGGTCACAAATTATCTGCTGTAATAATGATAATAATCACCATAAACCTTATGTTCATCATTCTTGTGTTTCTGGTACAATTATTGTGTTTTTGGGAACATTTTTCATGAATTCGATGATAAATGGTCTTAGGAATACCGATTGTCTCATATTTTGTAGGTCGAAAACTACTTGTCAAATTAATAATAATAAAGACCGAAAATCAAATGATAATTATACTTGCATTTTTGGTATTTTATATGTCCTTTTGATTTCTTGAAAGGCTCAACTTTGTCCTTTTGATTTTCTAAATGGCTGTAGTGTATGACTTGTTTTAAATACTACCTTCATACCTAGTTCCTTACTGTAATCTTTATTATTATAGGATATATCCTAATCTTACAAGACATAATAACTAATTAATAATTTAAATTTTCTTGAAAATCTTTCTAAAAATACTCATGTATTGGTGATATGGAACTGAGATATATTTATCTTGGTTTTCGTCTTTCCTAAAAGTCGAGATTTCGTTCATTCTTAACCTAAACTTTTTCTTCCTTATAATATCATCTACAATACCACTCAAAAAATCATTAATGACTGCTGCCATTTCTCGAGTTGTAATTTTTTCTTATGTGAACCTCGCATTTGTGGGAAGAAACATCATAAGACAATGCACTAGAAAATTCAACCCAGCACAATTGTGTTGTCTACAGTGATGTGAACTGTCAAGAAGATATCTGTAGGCGCTTGTTTCTTTCCTAAATACGTCATTATTGACGTATTTAGATGACCCAAGAAGATGACCCAAGAAGCTGACCCAAGAACAAATGACGAACTAAACAGGCAGACACAGGAGCTGCTTGCACAATTTCAGGTTCCAACTTGCATAGAGCTCGACTGCGAACTTCCATCCTGGCACTGTGTTATTGCCTCTCCGTCCAATGTTACAATATTATAGACATAGACGGCGAGGTACTAATGTTATGCCTCATTGGTGAAAATTTCTGAGAGAAATGAACTAGGTTATGAAAATGGTGATGAATTCAATCATTTCCTTCTCGATTTTTTTTCTCTCTGAATTCTCTTTAGTAGATTCCAGAAAGCTAAATACCTATATTTTATTCATTTACCAATCACCAATGATATAAATACCTTTTTTATTCAACTGGAGTTATTGCTCAATCAGCTACACTTTAAATCAAACTTTATTCTTATGGAAGACTTCAATATAAATTTTGCTGATACTAAATATAATTCACATCAGTCACTGTTGAATTTATAAAACACAACATAGTAACCATTATAGATTATATATGTAGATAATTTCATGTCATGCACTTTGTTTCTCCGGAAATTTCAGATCACAAAGCTATTCATTTCAGTGTTAACATCGATCTTATAAAAAAATGTAAAAATTTTAAATTCATAGACTATACAGTAGGTGAAACTATAACAGGTTATACCAAAATTGTCTTCAAATTAATTGGGAACATACTCTATATCAGACAATACAAACATGTTCACAAAAAACTGTTTAACTATGCCAAATGAAATTTTTATAATACAAGGATATCCAAGCAAATGATAGATCAAAATAACATTTTGAATTGATGAGTTATAGATGAAAATGTTCGAAAATCTCTCAGTTGTATGGCTAAGTGCATTGGCTGCGGAAATTGATCGTTATTTTTGGATTGGTTTGTTTCATTCATTCTTTAAAATATCTGTTGTAATCCCTCTATAGAAAGGCGGAGATCAAGAAGATCCCTCGAATTATCGACCTATGTCGTCAGTAGCCATGATAACAGAAAAGTTGACGACAAATTTTCATTTTTATATGAGGTCTATAGTTATATTAATAGATGGGATATCCACGGCTGCAGTATTTTGTGAATTATTTAAAGCCTTCGACTGCGTAAATCATGATGTTTTGCTCAGGAAATTTAACAACAGAAGTCAAAAGGGTGAGGTTTCTCACATTAGTAACGGAGTGCCACAAGGCTTAAGTACTTGTGGCCTCACCCCATTTCTCCTATATGTCAACGACTTGACAGGTATTGAAATAGAGGGTAAATTTACTTTGTTTGTGGACAAAAATACTACAATATCTTGGCATAAAAGTTATACAGTTGAACTTCACAAAGCTATCTATTCAGATATCATTAAAATCACAGATAGGTGTAATGCAAAGCATTGAGCATTTAATATATCAATGACCAAGATTTAATTTTTCAATTGTAGCATTGATGACATTTTCATAGTGTCGAATGTAAGTGTGATTGAAAGCACATTACAATACAATACAATATAATACAATATCTTTATTCCTTAAAATGATCACTTCACAATGATACAGGAGTCGTCAATGGTAAAAAACATGAAATGTATATAAACATTAGTACCAAGTTTTGGCATCGAGCTTCGAATGACATTCGGCGGTCAAAGTCGAAGTTTAGGGTTACAACAGACTGCCTTGGAAAGTCTTGTTCATCTTTGATATTCGTGGATTTTAGTCTTTTGTCTGTCCTATAGATGGCTTCTTCGTAACGGGACATGTCATTGTGATTCAGCCTAGCACCACTGGTAACACCTATGTATGTATATGTATGTACTTATTTCATCATTCACATGAATGGCTAGTCAAAACAGCGCTGCCTGGGATTAAATCACGAATGATTTGTTTTTCTGCTCTGATTTCATTACTTGCCTTGCAGTGAAAGACGGGACAAAACACTTTTCACAAAGCTTAGCTTTGCAACAGACTGCCTTGGTGAGCTTTGTTTATCTTTCAGAATTACGGGTAGAATGAACTGGAATATTGAAATACCAGTCTTGAGAAATTTCATTATTCATGTTTTTTATAATAGTTACACTAATCTGAGCCCTAATAATTTATTGAAATCAGTTACAGAATAATGACCAAAAAATGTCATTGTCATCTAGATCTAGAGTATTAGTCGTAGCAAGTATATTTTTATTTTCAGAAAACAAAATTGAAATTTATAATGAAGCTGAAAATGATATGAATTTTGATAAATCACTTTGACTCTTTCAGCTTCATCATTTCAAGAGTTACACTAAATCATCTTCCTATGAGAACTATCTCTCTTTTGATTGTTAGTTTTATGAACTGCCATCATTATTACTTTTCCTTTAGTTCTATTTATCTTGATTCATTTTATATTTCACATTTTTATAATTCATCCTTCATTCAAAACTCCTTATAACTCACTTTCTTAGCTGTTCACTTAACTCTACTTCAGTTTATAATAGTTTTGCATTTTTTGAATCTTCATTGGTCTTCAATTTGTACTCTTGAATCGTTGCCTCTAAATTATATATTTTTTTTATTGTATTGTAGGTACCTGAAATTAATGAAAATACTTTTCACATACATCAGATATTTTTGTAATAAAATGTTTCTACATCAGGAAATCATCTAGATTAATTAATGAAAACAACATGTGGTGTTCGCCAAAAAATGGTACATAGTGTTCCAAAACAATTTTTCGAGAGAAACGCGTTTAAAGTTACCATGTTCGATTATCAAATAAAGGTATAAAAAATGTTTTTTCGCAAGTATGACGATGTTCACGTTAAAAAGCATGTTTTCAAGTATCCGAAACCACCATTGACTCAATAATAATTTTTTGGCACACATATGTATTTATATCTTATAAGGTTACCTTTCATTTTAATAATTTTGAAGTGAATTATAAAACAGTGATGAAGAGACTATTTGGGATGTGACTCTTCACTACTTTCTCATTTTATATTTTCAAAAATTTAGAAAGCGACGTACATGGTAACTTCATTCTAATGCTTTTCTATAATGCCTCTTGCGATAGTTATGTGGAGCAACATGGGACATTTCTAATGTTATTTCACATTTTTTTTGGCTCAGTCCTCACAATTTATTTAATAAATTTCAGTTTCCATAATCTTATCTTTTCATTTTGTAACATTATAATATTAAAGTATTATTTTAATAGTGATTTTTTTTATAAAGGAAAGATTTCTATGATTTCACCCTTAAAGGAATTCTCCAGTCACATGAGTTGTGATGTGAAATATCCATAACTAGTAGTATGCAAAAAGTATCATATTGTAAAAAGTATCAACTGCGTTGTCAACGCATTCAATAAGAAGTTCAGGCCACTGGTACTGTTTCACTTCATTGAACACTTTGTCCGATTATGAGCAATCAATGTGAGTATTCATATATTCAAAGAAAATTTAAATATGTCCAAATATATATATGTGTGTGTATATAAGACTATTTTGTTGCCAGTGAACTATGAAGGTTATGATGACGCAAGAGCTTGGAAATAGATTTTTTATTTCTATTTTGTTTTCTGGTTATTCCTTGACTACCATTCATTATCTAATATTCTAACTAATTTTACTTTTGTGAGTCATTAATGAACTCTATTATCTCTCAGGCTTCAGGAAAGCCTTTCAACTCTTCACAAGGCCAATCATCTTCATCCTCAGCTTCAACATCTAAAGATAGACAACCACCACTTCACAATGAGGAACAAGATGACAAAAAAAAATCTATGAAGCATAAATGGGTTCCTTTGGAGATAGAACTGAACAAAAATAAACATGATAGGAAAAAGTCTGACAGAGCTAATGATGACCGTTCGACTGTAAGCGAAGGTATTTCTATATTTTACATTTCTCTAACGGGTTTTTAACAATGTAATTTTTCAGGTGACAAGGATTGGAGAGCAGAAAGAGAAAAAAATAATAGCTATAATCATAATGGAAGGCACTCAAGACCCGCACATGGAGTTAGAAATAGAAACGATAGGGGCAGGGGAGGTAGACGAGGGAACAATCGACCTGCTAATAGAATACCAAGCAATCCGGACTACCATGATTTTACTGGCGATTTTCTTGTGAGTTGACTATCGATACTACACTGCTACTACTTTTTAATTTGGATGAGCTTCAGACAGCTCAATTGGTGTCTATGATATCTACTCTGGCCCTGGTGGGGGACAAAAATCCAAAACTGGGTTGTAGGTAGTCACCTTGTCCAAATTAAAAGCAAGTAATCAATAAGAAAAGGCAGCATTTTTGATTTGTCTAAAAACAAATATATCAATATTTCTTTGCAGCCTTCGAAACTAGGTGATTCAGTAGATGGACAAAACTTTGTGCCCTATATGGGTACCTATTATTTCAACAGTAACAATTACGGCGGTTTGGAAGGACCCACTGTGAAAGAATATATTCGCAATCAAATGTGAGTGATATTTTTTTCTCATTTTGGATTTTTCATCCGAGGAGATTACTCCCAACTATATTTGATAGTAGACTGCAGTGAAAAACTTAATAATTGATAATGCTTTATATGTGGAAAACACAGCCTTCAGTTAATCCAGATATTGAGCATATCACCTCGATTATTTTTGAAAACTTATTTTTTGTATTGTTTATTAAAAAAGTCTGTTGTCAGTATTTCTTTAATTTATGATATTTCATGATAAACTAACTTATATTTTGGTTTTTTATTTCAATCATCAAGGTTTGTTTGAAGG